CCCACAAGCCACACCCACAAGCCAATCAGGAGCAAGTATGAAAATTAACACAACTAAGATGGTGGCGGCCACAGAGCTGGAGCAAGCAGGAGACTTGGGTTGCCCCCGACGATGGAGGAAGCCAAGCTTCCTGCCTACCCTGGCCAGCCCTGGGCTATGCTCAAGGCTACAAAGTCTCAATTATAGAAGATAAACAACCCCCCCCAAAAATAAAAGGAGAGGCTGGCAGCTTCAGTTGCCAGGGCGTGTAGCCAGCCTGCAAACAGCCATCAGCACTTCACCCAGACTGGCAAGGAACCCCAATGGGGACCCCCACCCTGAAGGGGGTGTGGCCAGCATAAAACGGCCCTCAGCCTCTCACCCAGGCTAGCCACACCCCCATGGGGTGAGGGTCCCCACTGGGGGGCTTGACCAGCCTGAAAACAGCCATCAGCCCCTCACCCAGGCTGGCCAGGCACCCTAGCAGGACTCCCCTGTGATCCGGGACACCCTTCAGGGTAAACCAGCCGGCCCCCATCCATACACCAAGCCTCTATCCTATATAATAAAAGGTTAATATGCAAATTGACCCTAACAGCAAAACGACTGGGAATCACTGGTCACAATGACACTGACCACCAGGGAGCAGATGCTCAATACAGAAACTGTCCCCTGGTGGTCAGTGCACTCCCACAGGGGGAGCTCTGCTCAGCCACAAGCCAGGCTGATGGTTGCCAGCACAGTGGTAGTGGCAAAAGCCTCTTCTGCCTCCTCAGCAGCACCAAGGATGTCCCACTGCAGCTTAGGCCTGCTCCCCACTGGACATCCCCCGAGGGCTCCCGGGCTGCCAGAAGGATGTCTGACTGCCAGCTTAGGCCTGGTCCCCCAGGGAGCGGGCCTAAGCCAGCAGGTGGACATCTCCCGAGTGGTCCCAGACTGCGAGAAGGGCACAGGCCGGGCTGAGGGACCCCTCCGCGAGTGCACAAATTTTTGTGCACCGGGCCTCTAGTCTATAATAATAATCTATAATAAAAGCGTAATATATTAGACTAGATGACCTTCTGGATGAAGCTGTAGCCAGGGACGTGGTGGGCAGGGGGCGGGGGTGTGTGGCAAGGCAGAGGCAGCCACTGCCACAGCAGGGGCCAAGACACTTACATGGATTTCATGCATCAGGCCTCTAGTATTTTGATAATAGCCATCCTAATGGATATGAGGTGCTATATCATTGTGGTCTTGATTTACAGTTCCAGTTTATCAGTTGTGAATTTGTCAACATTGGAGAAATGTCTATTTTGAGTCCT